GATTAGAAACAAATAGTATCTTTATCTTGACTTTTTCTTTTTAGCTTAAATTTTCAAATACTTTTCTTGTTATATACCACTAGACTGTCAATACGTATTAAATATATAATTTTCTACATTATGATTTAGTAATTTAAATATAATATTTTTATTTAACACAAAATAATAAAGATTTGACAAATACTTTGTTGTACTTATTAAATATATACTTTTCTACATTATGATTTAGTATATAATATTTTTATTTAACAAATATAATAAAGATTTGACAAATACTTTGTTGGTTAAAACAAACTCTTTCATGCCGCGTTGAAAGTCTTTGTCCTGCAGGTAAATTGATTAAAGCCTTGTTTTTTTTGGGTAGAAAACAGTTGTAAACCCAAGTGATGTTTTTACCACACACTGCCTGCCAAAGAAATAATTCCCTCTTGTCAGTAAGGTCTGGCCTCATGCCTCACCAAAATAGAAATACGACTAGGTCTGAGGAATTTGTCTTTTCTGCAGATAAAGAAGAAAATTTCTCCCCTGTGTCCTTTAGTGTTCAGTCTGATATCCGATGCCATATCAGTGGGAAACTTTCTTCCTGACAAACTGACATTTTGGAACAATTTAACACAGTCTGGTTCTTTCAGATCCACTGGGACAATTTAAGCACCTTTTTCATATTATTCGCCTGAGTTTTTTCATTTTCTGCCTCTTATTCATTAGCTGTTTAAAAAAAACTATGCCTCACAAAGTTGAAGTCACGCTGTTTGGAGGATTATTTTAAAATTCTCAGGATGGTTAAAAAAAAAAGTCAATTGGTTTGGACTAGAACCCTTTAGAATTTCTCTGGATTGAATGATTCTTTGAAGAGAGGTTTTCCTGTGTAAAACCTGGGCTTATAGTTGAATACATTTTTTAAATGCTTTTAAAAGTAGTAAAACATTATCATGTAACCTGCTATATTACTGTGTTCATACATTATTGTACAGATCTTTCAAGGGATGTGGAGCACAGTGAGTTCTTCTCTTGTTTGAACACCTCACACGTTACATATTTTATAAAGGTATAAAGCATGTACAAGGCAGTTGCACGGTCTTCCGCGCCGCTCACAGTGCATATAACATGACTTCCTCCCTTGGACTACTATCAGCTTGAGGATATTACATATGATGATGACGAGCAGTTTTACAGGTGGCAGGAAGATGAAACCTCAAGGTTTGAAAAGGAAGAAAATGATTTATTAATTATCAGGCAACTTTCATTAAAGATTCAATAAGATAAGGATTTCTACACAAATTAACCAAGCGTTTCCTTCACACTGTTTTTAATTAAAATGTGTGACGCCAGGAGGCCCTAATTATCAATAGCCCCAGATTAAACAGCATAACATGTCTTTTGAGGAAAATGTTTAAAATTGGATATTTTGTACATCAACATAAATAGTGTGTTACACAACCAGACAGGCCTCTTCAAATGAGGAAGCAATTATCTGGTATTCCTCGAGAAAAAATGTAAACAAATGTGTTTATTAGAGCAAACGAGCAAAGTTTAAAACTATGATGTTAGCATAATTGTGTAATATCTGTAAGAATCGTTATTGTTTTTTTTTTCTCCAATAACAAAAACAACTAAAACAACTTGTGTGCTTAGTGCTCTGTCTCAACATACTGAAATAGTCTATACATTTTTGACAAACTATTTAACTAATACATTTTAATCAGTAACTCGATCCAAGACCATGAAGTTGGGTCCTTTATATCATTGTTTCCCAAAGGAAACAATTTTGGGGGTGACGTCTTGCATCATATTTTTCAGGAGTTCAGAAAAAAAAATAATAATAATAATGTCTATTGACTTGGGTCGCGAAGGTTTGTGACTTTTAAAATACATGTCCCCAGAGAGAAAGTTTGGGAAACACTGCTTTATATACGTACATACACATTCAATAACGGCAGAACTGCTGTTGTTCTGTGTTATTGACGACTGAGGTTTGATTGATTTTAGGTCTTAAAACACTCTGCTTAAACATTCCGTTGTCTTTACTCGTGTTGACTAAAACGTGTGTGCCAATATGCACCTATTATTTGTTATTGAGTTTGTTGTCCCAAACAACGTCCCGGTGGCTCCGCCACTGCCCTGTAACCTGAAGAGCTTTATTAACACATATAAAAGGACAAAACTCTATATCTCCTTTGCTCACTGACTCAATATAAAAGGACAAAACTCCTGACAGAACAGTACTCTATATCTCCTTTGCTCACTGACTCATTCACAACACGATATGCAGAACAAGACATTGCAACAAAAAAACCTGGCACTTATTCAACCACTAACCTAACAGACTTTACAATGATTTACGATGAAAAACCTTAGCGCTCCCATCCCACACTTGACATGCTTGCTTGAGCATGCTCCAGGTGTTCAAAATCATCTCCACAATTTAACATTAGATTACACTTGACATCAGGAGCTTGCTATCCTGCCTGTGTTACCTCCTTTCAAAGCTGCTAATACTTTAGCATTTGTAAAGGAATAATGATTACGTTAAAGCAAGAACTGTTTAGAAGCCTTGACAATAGCGCATTAATGTCTTTGGATTTCTGCTCCCTGTCTCTTACACATGCTTACGTGAATGACCAACTGCTCACACAGCCACGTCCTTTAATTCAGACAGCATGTCTAAATGCCTTGTCCTTCGAACGTTAATTACACACCCTCAGAACAGGAACCGCCATGTGACAGAAATTGTTCATGTTTGCTACAAGGTTGAATGTGAACAGTGGCGGGGTTGACTAAAGCTAGTCATTACTGTAAATCCATGAGCAAGGGTTTATCTCATTGTTATTAATTATCAGACGATGTGAATTAACCAGAGCTAATGATGCCAGACTGTCTGCCTCTGCTCTCTGAGCTTTAATCTGTTCCCTTGGCATCTGAGGGCTTTAATTATGGTCTTTGTGGTTACTGTTTTCATATGATGAGGACGGAGCTTATAAGGCTAAAGAGGAGTCCTGCTCCTCTTTAGAAGGAGCCCTATTAAAGAGCATCTAAAGAGATAAAGAAGTGGAGTAACAGAAGTATACTGGGGAAAACATTATGATGTGACTAAAACCTGTTGAATGTCTTTACCTTTTTACAAGCATGTTTGAGGATGTGTTGTGGCAAATCAACATTCAATTCCTGTTTGGCTTAAAGGCAGTGAAGTCATTTGCACTTTTTAATTAATTAATTGAATTAATTGTGTACTATGGCATCATTTTACTGTGTTTTTTTTTTTTTTTTTTTATACCTGGTTGTTCAAAACTTAAATGTCACTGGCATCAAACTCAAGTGTCAACAGTGTGTGGTTTTAAAGTGACCCACACTGTCAGGAGAAACGGTGACGTTACACGTAGCGCACTGTGTTCAAGGAATTAAATATGTATGCTACACATGTCAGCTTCCCCCCTGAAGCACAGTCCTACAGGGACAGAAGGCCAGCAGTGCTGTTTGCCACTCCACAATTTGGCTGTTTGACTGACCAGACCCATGCTCGTTTCATTGATGTGTTTAGGATCCGATTTGGATGAAAAATTTGGTTGGAGAGAGTTGGCATGATACAACTTTTTCATGTCTGATACCGATACTGCAACTTGGTATATGAGTTACCACTATCAATCCAGTAGCCTTATTTCTCCTCCAGCGTGCCTCAGATTTGTCACGCAAACTTGTTGAGTATTTGGACTGAAGTATCGGGTTAACATTTTGACCAACATTGGACCGATATCGATCTTTCGAGTTTTGTAAGGGGCCACTTTCCTAATAGAAATGTGTTGTGAATGTGCAAACCGAGC